TGCAGTGGAAATGTGCAAACTACTGTTGCATTGTGCAAAAAGTAGCTTGGTGTCTGAAGGGATGCTGCAGATAAGTGCTGGGTAGTGACGTGCATGGAGTGTTTGTACAGCTCGGTGTGTCAGCAGGTGAAGTAGGTGTTTGTGTTTCTTCTCTGGTTGTGCGTTCAGGTGAGATGCTTGAGATGTTTTCTTCTACCTTGTTCAGTCATCACTGTTCCATGAAAAGTGTCTCACAGCACAACGTTTCCTTTGTCGTGTCTTTTCAGGCCGTATGTTTATGCTGTCCACTCAGAGCAGCCCGATGCCTACGGACATCGAATGGGTCCACTCAGCAGTGAGGTGAGCGAGGCCTGAAGATGCTCTAAGAGTTCTTCACTGCAGGTGCGATTAATAATATGCAATAATCAATCATTTTGGTTTTGATTGAAATGTTGTCCACAGCTGGACAACCCTCTGAGGGAAATCGACAACATCATTGGTCAGCTAATGAATGGACTGAAGCAGATGAACCTGCACCGCTGCATCAATCTCATCATTGTAGGAGACCACGGTACGAGCTCCACACAAACCTGCTGAATTCAGAGGATTTTGTCTAATTAACCCTTTTATTACAGTTCTTGTAAATGCAGCAATGATTAGACAGTCCTCTATGTTTGTATTTGGAGGGAAGAGCTCCTTTACAGAGTAAGAGACCTTCTTTAGAGCCTTTACTCCTTCACTGGGAGGAAGGAAAAGTGCTCAGGAAGCCTCCAGCAGCCTGATGCTGTAGCCTCATTACTAAATAACGTTTCAGGCTCACCTGATCCAGGTATGAACTGGTTCCAGTGGAGAGAGCCCTGATAGCTGAAGGTTCTTCTACTTGTAGGTTGCAGCCTGAGATGGAAGTACTCTATTGGAATAATACAGTTATGGTGCTTTATCGTCCCAGAGAGACTTTTAAATTCAGTCTTGACAGGGAGCCAGTGTTTTTGGAGAAATATGATCTCTCTTTATTTCTCTTGCTGCAACAACTTTGGATCAACTTTGAAGGGTTTCACTGAACTTTTTTAAACAGCCTGGAAACGAGCAATCGCAATAGTCCAATCCAGAAACAACACATGCATGGACTAGTTTTCAGCAAGACTCTGAGATGGGATGTTCCCAATTTTCGCAATGGAAGGAAGAAGTTATGCACAGACTTTTTATATGAAGGCTACGGAAGAAAGGATTGGTCAAAAATGACTCAACATTTCTACAGTTTAGTTTAATTCA